AAGTTAAATGAATTAAGTTAAATACAGTTGGAGATTAATTATTACTACAGTAATATAGTGACAGTATGAAGTTAATTCATTGAAGTAAGCATTCAATAATACAACCACAAGATCCAGTATATTTGAAAGTACATTATATGGAAATTACAAGGATTTAAATTTATATATTTATATGGTGAGTGGAGATAATTAAGAAGAAACATATTAAAATTGTTGGATAACCAAGGCTTAGTAAGAAGATATCGAGTGGTGATAATAACTTTAATTTTGGAAAAACTTAAGGCGTTCAGTGATAGAAAGGTACCAAATTTTGTTAATAATTTAATAATTGTAAGAATTTCAAATTTTAGATAGATTGTTTTAAATTGATATTGCTTATATTAGATAGATAGGTTTGTTTCATAATAGTTATAATAAAGATAATTTAAAAAAGTACTTACAAACTAATTCTTTGAGAACCGCAATAAAAACCCTATACTTACATATATCATTCAAATTTACTCATAGCTCATACAGAAACAACACATCATATCAATATATATATATATATATATATATATATATATATATATATATATAATGAAGTTTTATTTTGAGGATGCAGTCATTTAAGTAGGGTAGGATAAGTTAAACACTCTTTGTTCTTAAATCAAGCTTTCGCAAAATTTATTTGCTTCATCAGGATATGCTAAAATATGTTATGGTAAATACAATGAAATTAGAATTAAAAAACATTGTATAAAACTAATATAAAAACTTACAACATGAGGTTAAACCATTAAATTAATAAATTCACAAAACATTCCTAACTTATCTAAATTATACTTTTATGTAAGTACAATAATTACTATATATATATATATATATATATATATATATATATATATATATATATATATATATATATATATGACTTACCAAAACGTAAAACGTGACACGGGCAATAACTGTCATTAGTATATAATTATTTTTATATGGGCGTATCATTGATGTTTTCGAAAAAGGTAAAGTGGAGATATGTTATGACTTTAAGAGCTTTTTATGATGTTTATTATTATTATTTAAATTAGATTGAAATATATTTGTTTACGAGATGCCATGTATTAACTGTGAAGGTGTCTATATAGGTCAAACCAGTCAACTGCTTCAATCCAGAATTCGTTCTCACAAATATGACAAGAACAACGTCACTGCGCTCACAAAACATGAAAATGAGACGAAGCATAAATTTGATTCTGAAAACATAAAAATTTTAAAAACAGAACAAAATAAAAAGAAGAGGGAGATATACGAATCAAAAAGAAATATCAACGCAATAAATGACAAAAAACATACACAATACCTAAATAAAATATATTTCAATCTAATTTAAATAATAATAATAATAAATATCATAAAAAGCTCTTAAAGTCATAACATATCTCTACTTTACCTTTTTCGAAAACATCAATGATACGCCCATATAAAAATAATTATATACTAATGACAGTAAACCATGAGATATCATTTATCAACTTTTATTTGTCAGTTCGTTAATGTCCGTGTCACGTTTTACGTTTAGGTAAGTCATATATACATATTTTACAATATCTGTTTGTCCTTATACATATACATTTTAGAATCTTGACAAAGGCAAGGGTTTCCTGCCGAAACGTTGGTTGTTATGGAAAATAAAATTAATTCCACATATAATATATCTTTATTGAACCTAAACCCAAGAAACACTAATTTTATATTTTATATATATATATATATATATATATATATATATATATATATACAGATTGAACGAAATAAATTCGGAACATAGGAATATAATGTATTTCGGCTCAATTCTGCTGTAGGTGGTTGGCCAACAAAATATTGTCAACTATTTATATTATAAAAATCCAATACTTCAGTGGGCTGCTGGATTCTGAACTCATAAAAATTGAAAGCTACACATAAATCTACGATTTATGCTGTCAAACCAGTTATAGTCCAGGAAATGAAGCATTTCACCTCGCAATTATTTCGTGCTCCCTGGATTGACTTGAAATTTAACAGAGGGTAGGTAATAGCCTAAGGATCAAAATCTATATCGAACCAAAGTGCGCCAAAGCCTAGGGGGTGGTTGCCACCATCTCCGGGGTGAAATTTTTTTTTACGTTTTAACTACAGGTTTCGATTAAAAAAGTGATTCTAAACAAAAAATGTGCTATACATTTTTTTTATAAAATGATATTTTTCAAGTTATTCGCGATTGAAAGTAATAATTTTTGGACGTTTTTAATCGATTTTTCGCGAATAATTCGAAAATGGTGCATTTTATCAAAAAAATTAGAGAACAAATTTGTAGCTTTTAAAAAGACAAATACAATTCATGTTTTAAAATGTTTTTGGGATATAACAGGAACCGAAATACGGCCTATTAATGTTCAGCGGTTTTCTTCAAATGCCAAATTTGAAAGATTCAAAATCAAATATCGGGAAAATGATGCATTTTTGGAAGAAAACTCACAAAACCTTTTTTAAAGAGCATAAATAGACCTATCATAAAAAAGACTCTAGCTGAAAAATTGAGTGAGTTATGATGAAAATAAGGTCAATACCTCATTTTTTACGAAAAAATCGATGAAAACAACCCCCTAACCACCCCCATAATTAAAATAGATCTTCACCCTTCTGAAATTCCCTTTGTACATGTATTGTTAATATGTCCAAGAAGTTTGACCCATTTAAAATGCTTTGTGTTATAAAAAGTACAGCTTAAAGCGAGAAACGATTTACAATTTCATATTTTTTACCCTTCTTTTTTTAAATATGCCCGAAAATACTGAATATATAAAAAAAATACAAATTACCAAATTGTAGCTTTTTTAATGACTAAAATTATCCTTCATTTAGATTTGTTGTACAATAAATATTTGGCAAGATATAGCCGTTTAAAGCATCGATTTACGATCAAGCACCATCTTTTTCGATCCCTTTAAACTCACCCCATTTAAAAACCAAGGGTTCCAAAAAGATTTAATTCACAGATTCTTGTAGCTCTTAAAAACCTCTACAAATCGTTTTTGAAGAAACACTCTATCGTTAAAAATTAAAGGAAATACGTTAAAAAAAAACCAGTGAATTTTTTTCCGGAAAATTTTATTAGTATAGTACAGTACATTTCGGAGCATAGTAATCTACAAAACCGGTATATTAGCTAGTGGGGCGTTATACATTCGAAATTTTAAGCGTTCTTATTTTGAAATCCCATACAACAGAATAAAACATCTGCTCATATGTCTATGGCTTGGCAATGAAAATATTAGAGCAACAGATTGGGGATGGTATTCCAAAGATGGTTTGTTATTACCCGTACGCATGAACAAACAACCTGCACTCGATGAACTTTTGAAAATTATTTTTTGGCAATGCAAAAAAGGATGCGGTGTTTCATGTGGGTGCAGAAAAGTTGGTTTATACTGTAACTCTACTTGTTCTGGGTGCTCAGGTGAAGGGTGCAATAATAGTCCACCAATAATTGAAGATGAGGATGACATAGATCACGATGAAGATGTAATTGATGACGAATAAAATTAATATTACAATTGTTTTACCTATAAATGTAAATATTTTCAACTATTTATGTAAATGTATAAGAATATATGGTGCCTTTTTATGTTGATAATTTTTTTTGTATTTAATTCTACCTTTTTCAATTTATATCTTATAAATTAGTTTATAAAAACTGCAATGTTGTAAAGGGTGATTTTCAAAAGTTGAAAAGTTGCAAAATTTTGGCAAAAAATTGTTTTCACCTATAGCACTCATAACAATTGATTTTTAAGGGTTGAAAATGTATGAATTTGTATTTTAAAGTATAAAAAAATCACTATTTAACTAATCCAAACCAAATTTCACTCATCTTAAGATTTATAATATTATTTTACAATTTTTGAAAATTAGAAGTAGTTTTCACCCCTAAGAACAATCAGGGTTCATCGGCATGACATAAACTATAAAGCAGAGGGTGAGTTGAGCTTAATTCCAAATTTTTATGCAAATCGTTCCAAGGTGAAATCATTTTCTCGCATTACTAATTTTTTTATATTAATCTCTAATAAGGGTCGCTTTTTAAGGGTTGAAATATGATGGAAATTTATTCAAAAGCACGAAACTATCATTATTTAATTAATTCAAACCAAATTTTACCCATATTCAGGTTTAATATGTTATTTTATAATTTTTGACAATTACGGGTAGTTTTCACCCCTTAGAACAATCAGGGTTCGTCGACATGACATAAACTATAAAGCAGCGGGTGAATTGAGCTTAAATCCAAATTTTTATCCAAATCGATCCAAGGCGAAATCATTTTTTTATAATTGGTAATTTTTTTACATTAATCTTTAACAAGGGTTGCTTTTTAAGGGTTGAAATATGATAGAACTCTATTCAAAAGTATAAAATAATCATTATTTAACTAATTCAAACCAAATCTTACCCATATTCAGGTTTAATATGTTATTTTATAATTTTTGAAAATTAGGGGTAGGTTTCACCCCTAAAACCCTTCAGCGCACTTCGGTTCGATATAGATTTTGATCCTTGGGCTATCACCTACCTTTTGTTAAAATTTCAAATGGATACATGCAGGACGAAAAAATTGCGAGGTTTTAACTATTTTCGAGCTTTATTTCCTGAACTATAATCGTTTCCTTAGACAAACCCGTCTTATCCAAACAACATTGTTGTGAGACAGATAGTTGAACGATATTTTATACAATGTCTATACCTAGGTATGGATTTATTTTTGTCCGAGTTTTATATTGGTCCACTATTTCAAATGCAGTTCAAACACACATGTATTAAATTGTATGTTCCGTTTTAATTTGGTTCAATCTGTATATATATATATATATGTATATATATACGTCAAATACGTCTATTGGATATTTGTAGTATTTATTTTTTAATATCATTTTTTTTATGAATTAAATATTTTTTTTTAATATTTTATCGTATTTCAGGATAAAAAGGTAGATTTAATCATCAATAGCTATGTAGATGACGTCATATCAAGAATAATGAAAAAACTAGGTCTCGAAATTCCAAATTATTCTACCGAAGTGGATCCCACCAAAAACCAATTACCATATTCTGTGATTGAGTGGAATATTTTAAAATCTAATATCGATGAGTTTAGAAATAAATATGAAGTGATGGTGGGAGAATACAAAAAACTGAAAATAGAAGAAAACATTTTAAATAATTCAAAGAAACTGGCAAAGACTGTGAACCAAAGAAAAGAAAAAAATATTAGAAAAAACCGATCAAGAAAAAAGCAATCTTCTAAAATTGTAAAGGTGAAAGCAGAACTTAATTTGGTGAATCAATCCAGTACAATTGATGTGGCTAAATTAGTTGATAGGAAAAATACATATTTAGCATAATGCATTTGTTAACTATTGATTTATATATTGATTTTTTATTAGTTAGAAATGATTATTCGCAGATTTCTCTTTCCTCATTGTACAATTGATGATTATTATTGTTTAATATTTTGGAAATAGGTTGTACGTTGCAGATCTGTGATCCAAAGTTGCAGGTAGCCTCGTTGGCTGTAGGTTTAAATTAATACATAATTACGATTTTCTGAAATTATTTCTTTGTGGCATCTAAGATTTTTCCAAATGTCTGGAGAATCATACGCAAATTGTTTGTAATTTGTTCATTTAAATATATATATACGTTCCATACCGAAACATTCATATTTTAATATAGTTGTTAATGGAGTTAAAACAGCTTGTAGATTCACTTTATTAATACCACACATTACATCAAATCCAACAGGATAGTAATCTTATCTTTACCTACCTGCCACCTTGAAGAACAATCCGATCTTTTCCTTTAATAACATACACGACCTAAAAGCCTGAAAACTAGGATGTATCTTTATGAGATATATTGTATTATATACAGTGGGCGATCAAATTTTATTATGATCAGTAACAAAAGTTGTAAGTTTTTCAAATTTGTTCAAAAATTTTATAATAAAATTATATGCTGCTATACGATTAAGGAATGCCAATATATTTTGTCACTAATAACCTTACTTTTTTGACGTTTACAGCTCTAGAACTGGCATTTGTGTCAAATTACGTGACAACATACACCTTGTGGTGAATGTGCGCTTGGAGTTTACAACTGAATTTGTATGTTTTTGTATTGTTTTTGAAAGATTAGTATCGTTTTATCTTTGTAGTAGTATGTTTTATTAATGTATTAGTGGTGATTGTGAGTGAAAAAAACTATCAGTTTTAATTTTAAAGACGTTTTCAAAGCATTTCGATTTTTGAGAAGAAAATCATAATGGGTAAGGCTAAAGTCGTCCCTGTGTCTAAAATGGTGGAGATAAAGACACTTTTATTGAATAGAAAGCTTTCCCAACGTCAGATAGCTCAACAATGCCGAGTAGCGTAAGCAACAGTAAGCAATATCAGCAATATCAAGAAAAAAAAGTGATACCAACAAACCCCTGACTCATCATCGTGTCCAAAAATGTGGTCGAAAGCGTGTCACTACACAAAGAGACGAAAGAAAAATGAGGGATATCTTCGTAAACAATAGAAAGAAGCCAAGAAGAATCTTCACGGGACTTATTCGTGAAGCGGGGATGCCAGTTTCTGACATGACAGTCCGCACAAGGCTTGCTAAACAAGATTTCAAATCATGTTGAAGAGACCATCGCAATGATGAAAAAGAGACTGGAATGGGCCAAAGAACACCAAAATTTGACAATTGAGCTACCTATAATCACTTTTTTTATCCTAAAAAAATATCTTATTGTTTTTTTTTATTCACAGGTTTGTTTCTCCGATGAGTCTAGAGTGGATATACTCATGGATAAGTCTTCCCGCTGGCCTTCGTCCGAAGGCGAGTGGGTGAAAAATATCACAAGGATTGCATAGTGGAGCGAGTAAAGCATCCTCTTAAGCTATGGGATGAAGAGGGAGATTGCCCAGGAAACTGTCACAAATAAGCAGCAGTTAATTGAGAGACTCATTACCACCTGGCACAGAAACGATAAAATAAAAGAAGACAGCCTGAGAAACATTCATAGTATGCCAAGGAGGATCAAAGCGGTCATCGAAGCTAAAGGAGCTAACACAAAATATTGAAAAAACTGTTATTTAAGGTCAAAGAAAAAAATATTTTAAAATTTTGTAAAAGAACGTGTTTATTATCTATTTTTATATTATATTCACATCATTAGGCGCTTAAGGCGAGTTGACACAATCTAAGTGTACTTGGTTAAAGTCTGCTTGGACGTTGCGTGCGCATCACTTGGAAGCTACTTTGATCATGTCACCTATTCATCCAAGTACACTTGGATAAAAGGCGGGTTGAGACGATCCAAGTGTACTTAGTTAAACTCTGCTTAAACGTTACGCTCAACACTTGGAAGCTACTTTGATCGTGTCACCTGTTCATCCAAGTACACTTGTATCAACGGGTTCTATCCAAGTTAAGTAAGACGCTAGCCAACTTTCTTGGATCCAAGTAGTGTGTGTAAAATTAAAATGGCGTCGGTGTAGAAAAATTGAAAACTAGAAGTAAACACAAATAGAAAATGATCTGAAAGGGAGAGTGATTCATGGAGATATATGAAGCTGAGGAAGTATTATGGGATGTACGGATAAAGGAATATAAAAATAAGAATGCTAGAAGTGCGGCCCTACAGTGAATAAAAATGCACATGAATATTAATGCTCTCACTGAAAACGGGGTATTACAAAAATTAATGTCATGCGAATTCCAGTTGCTGATGCAATGGAATGTCAACTAGAAATATTGGCAATAATTCAAAAAAAGCGACTCTTGGTAATGCGTCGCAATCAGCTGGTTAATGAGACATTACTGTCATAAAGAAATTTTTGATAACGTTGTTTGATAATACTGTACAAAATAATGATCATTCAAATGATATCCACCACCTCAGTCGACCTGGTACACCACAAGTGTTGACCGAACCATTCTCTACACACGATAAATCAGCCAAGACAGTGTTAAATAAATATTGTTCTGAAAGTATTGAAACTGTTTAAAATCAGGCCATTCTTAATGTTGGTGGTTTTGAATACTTTAATATTACATAAGTGTTATATATATAACATGTATATACCAGCTAATCTTGTATACAGTATTGGAAGATTCAAAACGGAACATACGAATTATTAATACAATTATTAAGATCCCCTGACCTGCAATTACCCAGTGTAAATTTCAATATAACGTCGCGATGTCTTATAATTAATTCATTTGTTCGACTGGACTCCTTCTCCAGTCGATATTTTTCGACTGCTCCGCACGTGCGCACCTTAATAATACAACTAATAGTTGATTGTGTCGGTATTGGCCTATCTTCATACGCACAAGTAAATAAATTTATAATATCACGGTACGAGTTGCCCCCATAATACCATTTTAAAATTTGTACTTTTTCTTTGTTTGTATACATGGTTTATGGTTAGAAACACTACTTTTATTTCAGCTTATGGCGTTATAATGAGAAGCAAAGCAAAGGGCATGTATTTGTTTTGCTCGGCCAGTGATGTTCCTTGGGACTGTTGCCAAATCGATAGATACCTTCGGCAAAAATCTGTAGATTTTGATGTATCATATACATCCTTTTAAATTTTAAATTATCAACAATATTTGGAATAATAAATATATTAAAATATACACTAACCAATTCAAATATTATCTAATGAACACAAAAAATTGTTATTAATAAAACATTGTTATTATCTGCACAAAAACACAGAAAATCAGTGGACGATAGACAACAATGTCGACGTACACCTGTCGAATACGCTACTAGAAATCGCCAAGGAGTAGCAATCCAGTCGAACAAATGAATTAATTATAAGACATCGCGACGTTATATTGAAATTTACACTGGGTAATTGCAGGTCAGGGGATCTTAATAATTGTATTAAGGCCTATCCTCGATAATCCTAACGGTAAAATTCAGTGAGCTATCTATTTCAAAAATATCTTTCTTTACGAAAACAAAATCCATTTACGAAGAATATTCTAAACGTCATCTGGTACTAAATTTTATATTTTTACCTACTTACAACCCCCTATTGTGAAGTCTTGGGTGTATACAATAAAGCGAGCGGGAGGTCTTTCTATTCATTGCGATTATGGGGTAATTAGAATAATACGAGTATCCCAGAGTAATATTATTTATTGAATAATTAATTCACAACTTAGCAAGGGTACATACAGGTAACAAATAATCGTCCTGTAAATAATTCATAACAATTAAATCGAAGACAAACTTTTATAAAATTTTATTACAAAATAATGTATAACAAGATATAAGTGTATTGGTTTTTTTATGTCTTATATTTTCTTTTGTTATTGTTTTTTTGCTGACAAATTGGCTTTTAACGTATATTACAGTTTGATGATAAATATTCTGAAATGGAAAATGTTGAGATGTGGCGAATAAAAACATTCATGAAATTAAAATGAAGGGATTTACGTCTATTAGTGGTGTGATTTATAAAATTAGTAGCTCAAATCGCGGGAGGAATATATGCATTAGTTTTCAAATATTTATTATTTACGATATAATTTCTAAATTAAACCACTTTCACTTCTTTAGGTTACAATGTATCTGTCTTGACAACTAAATAGGTAATTAGACAAAATAATGATTATTATTAATTTCAAAACGGGAGTTTAAAGAATTAGAAAAAGGTAGTCCGGGCCCAGTTAAACAATCAAGTTTATTCCAGTGTAAGCAATCAGGAGGATTATTTTTCGTTTTGGCTCAGCTGACATGCTCTCTCTAGCACTAGAACCCATGAAACTATGGTCAAAAGCATGCTTTTATTTACACGGTTGTGAAACGAGACGATTAACAGAGACATCGAAGAAAGATATGTCGCTGAAATGGATGCAATAAAGTATGAGAATAGAAGGTACAGTCATGGATGGCATACAATGAAGGCATCTCAAATGGTACGGACATGTCCAATGAATGAAAGACAGTAGACTCCCGAAACAAGTACCTCTATGAACAACTACAGGAATCCAGAAGAGAGGACTACCGTAGAAAACACGGATGGAAGGAATAAAAAACTCAATGAGCTCGAAAGTACTTAAAGAACAATGGAATAACCGAAATCAATGAAAAATGGACGTCGGAAGACGTTTCATACGAATGAATTGGTACCAGAAGAGTGGCTAAATGAAATAATATGCGTTGCATAAAGGGCTATCAGCTGGATTGTAAGAACTATAGAGGCATTACTCTGTTAGCATCTGCGTATAAAATCTTCGGCAATGTATTGTTTGAAAGACAAACATTTTACAAAGGATATTGTTGATTTACTGCTGCATAATCAACTATACATCAAATTCAAGCATATGAGCAGATTCTAGAAAAGTCACTAGAATATAACATAGTTACACGTTATGACAGCCTATGACAGTGTTAAGCAATGATAGACTTTGGTTGGGATCCCACCGAAGTTAGTTAAGTTGACCCAACTAACAATGTAAAACGTGAGTTCGTGCGTTAGAATTGAAGGAGAAAACTCCATGTGCTTTGACGTTAATGATGGTATAAGACAGGGAGAGGCGCTGGCTTGTCTCTTCTTTAATGTTGCCTTGGAAAAGGCAACCAGAAAATGAAATATTATAATGAATGTAGCTATTTTTAATAGAACCATAAGAGACATGGTGCAGTGTTTTACAAGGCTTGCGGACGCGACAAGTATATTAGGACTTGTGGTCCTAATTAGAAATGGTAAATGAGGAAAAACCAAATATAGGTTGGTTTTCCAACAGATAATTCAAATTAACAACCATACCTTTGAGCAAGTCAAAGAATTCACTTACCTTGGATCGCTAGTAAACGCAACAAACACGACAAGCAACGAAATAAAACGACGCATAGCAATAGCAAACAGAACTGTTCACGGTCTCCAGAAACATTTAGAAAATAAAAATATAAAACGTGCAGTAAAGCTCGATATATGCAAGAACTTAATAAGA